TATATAACTAGAAGAAGCTTACTTCTTATAGCTTCTTATAGTTATTACTTATTTATTAAATTACTATAGTAACTTATAATTTATAGTATTATTACATCTACCTCTTTATTACTAAAGATTCTAGCCTAAAGTATACCTCTTACCTTCTCTTATAAAAGTAAACCTTAGTCTTAGTTAAGAGAATAGCTTATAATAAATAGTTCTACTCTTTAATATTAGGTAGTTATTTTATTATAAGCTATTCTCTTAACTAAGACTAAGACTTACTTTTATAAGAGAAGATAAGAAGTATACTTTAGGCTAGAATCTTTAGTAATAAAGAAGTAGAGGTAATAATACTATAAATTATAAGTTATAGTAGTAATTTAATAAATAAAATAATAACTATAAGAAGCTATAAGAAGTAAGCTTCTTCTAGTTATATATATGTGCTATCTTAGCGTAATTAGAAGCTAAGGCCTAGCTCTCGTAAATTAGGCCTGATTCGTCTAGCTCTGTCTAATCCATCTGATCCGTGTCACGTGACCCTGATCATCCTCGTGACCTTGCACGTGATCCTCTGTCCGTGACTCCGGGCTTGGCTTGCCGTTTCCTCTGTCCTGGCCAGCTAACCCTGTTTTCGGTCCTGTGATCGTAACAGTATATAAGTTCTAATAAAGTTAGAATAGTAGATATTTGTTTCTGTACATACTAGAAGTACCGTTTAGTCCTTAAGAGAGGCTTTCTAACGTGGGTTAAGTAGGCGAAAACGTGTCTACTTACATTATCGCGAGGTGCTGACTATATGTATGTATTGGTGCCTTATTAGCGGCTACGGAGTCCCTCCAATTGGTTGGCTCTCCGCGACCTGGAGCCGCCGCAGCACCCAACAGAAAACAAACTGGCAAATCCCCAATAGAATCCAGCTGATGCGGAGTGCCCCACCATCGCGTGCCTTGCGGCGAGATATGTCACCGGATAATAATGCACAGAAAAGGAATGGTTTTATAGTGATCTTGCCAGGTGAGCAAACGCCTTGATGATCCTAGCAAGGGGGGTGGCCCCGCTCCGGCGACAGGTCTTGTGTCGGAGGCGCTGGATTTTCCGGTGTAGATGAAGAAAGACGTTGAGGTGGGCGTTGTTGTCACTGACGGGGAAGACAGGCGAAGTAGCGGTCGCCAAGAGGTTTGAAGCACCACGATCTGATTAGATCTGGGCCATTTTTCTTGTTATCCTTCAGCGATGACGATCGACGATTCTTGTTCGTATACGTAGGCTGGAGCAGAGGATGTTGCGTTAGTTGTTGTGAGGTCTTTGGAATAGGCGAATCTAGAGTGGCGATTTGTCTTTGGTTAAGTCATGCTGTCGGCAGTCGGGGATCTCTCGGAGGCGATACGCGCTTCCGCCAAAGAACGCATGGCCAAAGTTGGACGAGGAGCGGTTACTTGCATACGAAGGCAGAATGAACATGCATTGGAGGATATATACGAATACTTCCCAGATCGGTCGGATGGACACCACGCGTTCTCATCGCGACCTCTCAACTAGCACACTCGCGCGTTCAGCCAGATCTCCTTCACCTTCCGGAGCACATACGCTAGTCCTTCACGCTCCTCGCCATCAAGGTCCAGGCATAACGCTGAGTCCTTTGATACCCAAAATCCTGGTCTTCCTCGATTCGCTCCCGCAGCCACCCAGGTATCTAACCAGCCGCTTTATGGCATCCCTCACTCTCCGCGGCGGCGGTGTCCTCAGCCCTGAGCTCGGTTCCATTATCGTCGGAGGGAATGCGGAAGCTAGCGCGGCAATGCTATCGCGCGACGGGCTGTTCGCTCGGCGAGAGGGCTTCTGGTGCTAGCTTGGCTGGTAGGCGGACTGAAGGTATTCCTCTTATTGAGGATTGGTGCGCTCGCATTCGAAGCCGCCACGGCTGCTGATACGCTGTGGGTAGGCAGGACTTTAGTGTCGGTATCGCGTCTCGGTCGCATGGTGTTGGGTGGTGCACGTCGACATTGTATAGGTATAGGGTACGGAAGAGGTCGCACGCTTCCGCCTTAGCGATAGGCGAGAAGTGGAGGTGGAGAGTCGTCGGGACGGAGAGCTGGCCGGGGTGCGGGCCGACGCAGAAGGCTTCTCCTCGGTCGGCGGAAGCGTCAACGATGGGTCTGCCAAGCTAGAAGTCGGTGTGATATGTTGATGCCTGCAGGCAGTGAGAGTCCATATGCGTCATAGCGGACGCCTTACCCATTCGGTAAGCGGCTTACGGTGCACGTGATAGTCGTTGGAGGCCGGGATTGAAGTTGGTGGGGCAAAACCGGCTGCAGCCGCGCCCGCCGGCGGTTTTGGTCGCGGTGCTTTTCATATGTCGGGCACCAAGGTCTTGCAGTTATCATGCCCGCTCAGGAGCACACGCCTCTCACACCCACCTCGTAACCACCTCGCAACCGCTTGCGACGTTCTGCGCACTCTGCCTCTTAAATCCGGCGATCCATCTCCTTTCCGCGCGAAGAAATCTCAAGGTGAACAACAGTCGAAACACCGCATCCTTAGCTCAGAACAGGCTGACGAGTTCTTGCTTCAACTGTAGCCATCCTCCTAACGCACTTTCTGTTCGTCGCAGAGAAGTTCGCGTCAGATCGTCGACTTCTTGTTGATTATGGCGGTAAGATATTCTGAATCTTCATTTCCTCCTTTCAACGTACTTCTCGCTAACCGACGGTGTCCGTTCAGAGAGGCGACAAAGCTCTTGCCGGGCAAAAAGAAGACATCCCGGGCCATTTCTTCCCTCCCGATCCTACCAAAAACCGGACGATATACTTCAGAGGCTTATATCTCTCCATCGTCAAGAAGGAAACGGACGGCGTGAAAACACACATAGACAACGAAACCCCCTCAACCGAATATCTCCCCTACGAGATTCCTGCTGGATATACTTGTTATATCAGGGGTGCTAGTGTATATTTCAAAACTTAGGAGGATAGCGTCAGGCCTGCGACGATAGGGGGCTCAAATAAAACAACGAGTGGGTGCGACGTGCATACGTCTCTGCAAGGGTAGGCAAGCGAGTTAGGCAAAGGTGTGGGCGGCCCAACGTTGTCGCCTGTCCACGTGCATACGAGCGTCCTAGCAATGGCAGTCATGATTGGTTCCCATAACGCCATGATTACCTGCATACCAACCCTACAGTGAGGGGAAGCTGTGATAAAAGTGGATGACGCGACGAGCATACATCTCCCCCAGCAAACCTGCGCGAGCCGACACCACCTTTTCGCGCTCGCAAGCTGGGCGGGACGTGCATGCGTCTCCCCAAGGGCAGAGAAACGTCGCCAACACCTTCCCATGTGCATATGAGAATGCGGACAATGGCATGATTAGTTTACATGCCGCCGCAAATCACATCTTGGATCGAAGTTTGTATGGATATGCTAGTCCACAGCTAATATCTGCCGTATACTCATCCTGTCTGCAAGCACCTCCATGTCTGTACCAAGGGACCGCAGATGAGGGGTGAGGAGGCATCCAGCGCGGGCTAGAGTGTAGGAGGATACATATAAAGGCGATCTATCATGGTCAGTTCTTCACCCTCTCTCCTTCGAATCAAGCTCATCCGTCCCCTTCTCCTGGGATACATCGTTGACGTCTTTGCTCGTCCCTCTCAATCTCCCTCCGGCAGCACCATAGCCTCACCGGTCGGAACCGCTCTTATCATACGTTTTCTTGTACGCAAGAGAGGTAAGGCCATGCATCCCGTTCTCTTCGGGCATATGCTGATTGTCGAGCAGAACCATGTCCGACCCCGCTGGCCAACCGAACTCTACTTCCAACCCTTCCAATCCGCATGGTACCGCTCCTCCAACTACAAATGGGGGAACTCCAAGCGGCAATGGTCAAGCCCAAGGTGCCGCACGCGACTCCGAGGTCCCAGTAGTTACTGTGGGCCCCCCGTCGAACGAACAACAGCCAAATATCGACTACAGCCCTCTCCTGAACGACAATAAAGGTGGCAAGGACTCGAGCAATTAGCGAGTACATCTGCGAGGTTCTTGTGACAGGGCTGGTAGGTCGCGTTTAAGGATGGCAATGGTGCGCAAGGATAAATGTTCTTCCGAGTCGTCTAGTGCCACGTGGCCCTCAGCTCCACGCTAGCTTGTTTCGCCAACACCTCCTATCGTCTGCATTTAAGCGTCGTGATCGCAACTTGCAACATCCTCATCCTACCATCAGCATGGCATCTACCCTCTCCACGACCACACAACCGCCCGGAAGCCAACCCTTGTGCGAGAGCCTGAATACCACACTAGAGCTGTGTGATCTTGCTCGCCAGGTCGCGTTGCATCTAGAAACTCCGTCATCCCTCGAAAGGATAACCAGAGAAGGAGAGGAGGTGTTCAGGATTAAGTGGATGAAACAATTCGAGGATCTGGCTAATGAGGTCATAAAAACTGCAGTATGTGAGACTCTTTCCTGTATTAGTATAACTTGCTATTAGCTAATCATGTCGCAGGCGCCTAAAGTGCAAGAGAGAGCCGCAATTGCTGGAGTAAAGATAAGAGCGCGGAAGCAGAGAGACGCTACGGGGGGGGTTCTTTTGGTAAACGCAGCTATGCTCTCGTCGAGACAAGACGAATACCACATTCTTCTACCGCTTCCGATTTCCGAGCAGGCACACAACAGGGTCATCCACCGTATCCAGGAACTTCTTCCGACGCTCAAGCCGTATGCATATACGCCGGAGAATATAAAGCTTTGCCTTCAGAGTGAAGCGGATAGGGAGAAAAGGGAAGAGTTAGCGTTCGTGCCGGATCGCATCTATGTCAATTTCGAGGCTGTCCGCTACGGAACAAGGCCACCGCTGCGGCCATTCCTCATGATACCGGTTTTCATTGTCCGAGCGACGGAGGAGCAACACGGTGCCTAAGGGATGTTGGTGCCGAACATGTGGTTATAATACTCCAGTGTTAGTCCGTCCTCCGAGAAGTCGACGTATGCGGAGGGTAGTTTATACTGTATCAGGTCTAGTAGTAGTACGTTAGCGAAGTTGTGATGGTGGGTTGCGGCCTAGAAGTACCTTCTGTGCCTTCATGCTCCGCTCTACCACGATATCCACCCCCTTCTACAGAGAGCTCACTAATCCGACGTTGCGGTTCATCAAGTACTCCGGCAAGGCTGTCATCTCGCGTCCTCCTGGTAACGGCTACCGTCTGATCTACGCTATCTTCCGTCGCATCTTCTATTTTCTCATCAGCAACACGGGCGTTATGGTGAATGGACGTGGGCCCTACCGCCTGCTTCCCAATTTTGTCCATTGCAGGAGCCCGACAATCCGGTTGCCTGCAAAGACGCTCCTGTCCTCCGGAGAGCGTCAGTCCATTCACTAGCCATCTCTTGGACGAGTTCTGTCTTCAAAGCTTTTCCAATCGTGTCGAGACTATGTAAGGGATTAGAATCACGCGAGCGACTCGTAAGGTAGAACTACCTGCATTTCCCTCCGAGTACAAACCAGGTCATGAACCCCAGGTGGAACGAAATGTTAGCCTGAAGCTCATGCTCGGGTGGTTTGCAAATGACGACCTTTTAGGTGAATTTCTCGGCGGCGTGGCTCGCATGCAGGATTTTTCGGATGCCATGGATCGATGGGGACCCTGTTGCGCCGCGTTAGACCGCCGCTGACAATACATGTACCCGAGTGGCCATACAGAGCAAGAATACCTCCCAGGCCCGGTGCTTGAATCCTTTCCGGTACAGCGCGTCCATCCCCCGGACCACCCACAGCGCCGCGGTTCGAAGTCGCGATAGGTGTTTCCCTCCCGCATTACGTTGTCCTTGCACGCGCGATAAGAAGCATTTTATACTATTGTCCACCTCCTCTAGCCTAGCGCCACGTTCGAGACAAACGATAGCAAGGCAGAAGAACAGGAGTGTACTATAACGAGACACCCGCGTCGCGTAACTCTCGATGTTCGTTAGGCTGCTCGAAAACGTGGCGTAGTCGTTTAGGATCTGAAGCATGTGCTAAAAGGTTACAGACGATGTCCTTGGGCGGGAGAGAAGCCGCAGTGATGAGGTTCACACGGCAAGCCAGCCGGGCTGGACGCACAGGAAGCGGAAGCGCGCTCAATCCACTAGTACAGACACGTCGGCCATGAGTCAGCCGGCGGACTCCATCTCGGGACAATGTGACGAGGGCGGGCATTCGCCAAAGCGGCGGCGATCACGCTCTTCATCACGCCATGGTTCGGCCTCAGGTCGTACTTCTACGCCGAGGCGCGCCTCATCAATCCCGTGCAATGTCGTGAATCTGCAAGCCGATGGTCCCTGCGGCAGAAGCGCCAGGAATGATGATCGCGGCGATGCCAACACCCCTAGCGCTCTCGTCAGCGGCGAGCGTGATGTTGGCAATGGCAAAGGAAGCGGGAACAATGACGGCAGGGCTCCCGATGATGCCACCAACACGCCGCTGGAGACCCGTTCTGGCACAGCGTTCTGTTCAGGTCCGTCGCAGAGGTATCGGGACGGGAACGAGACGCATACGGTCGATGCACAGGAGGAGCCAGAAGACGATGGAAACGGAGAGACGGATCGGGCGGAAGCAAATGCCGGTGATGGAATTGGCCTTGGGAGAACTGCGGTAGTTCGACAACTGCGAAGCTCCATCAACACGCCTCGGCCCAAGGAGCCTGCGACGAAAGGCGGTGTCCGACGAAGCGGTCTCGAGGGTCATGCCGGCAGCGAAAGCGAAAAGCCCATACCAAGGTGGACCAGGCAGCGCAAGACATCATTCCATGCAGCGACTGTCCAGCGCATCAAGCGGTGGAAGACTGCCGTTGTGCAGCGGAAAGCACGACCCGAGTGCTCCTCTCAACACAGCCGCAGGACGGTCAGATCTGCTCCATCTCATTCCACAGGTGGACTTTACGCTCCTTCCCCCCTGTCGCCACCTGCGGCTGCGGAAACGATGCTGCCGCTGGACCATGGTGGGCCTTCGTCCCGGCAGACTCCACAGAAGCTCGCTCACATGACGCTGAGGCAAGTCTCTCCAGGTGTGTCGTTCTTGGCGGCGATCACCCAGGACGGCCGCACCGCGCCAGCGTTCTCTTATGATCAGTCAATGTCCCTCATAAAGAGCACACTCGGCGGTACAGGACGATTTGACGGCATCGCCATCATGCCACTGTCACTGAATTCATGGCTGCTGACCGGGTTTCTTCACGCTCTTCGTCACGCGTCCGGACCAGCCGCTACTCATACGGCCACACATTCTCGGCACCAATAGACAATAAGGTCTTCTTGAAAGGCCCGAAGCTGAACACTGTCTTTAAGGGTACAGGTCTATTACCCAAGCTTCTTTTACAAGAAGCTGAGATTATGGAACTTCTCTTACGCAACCCACATCCAAACATCATCCGTTATCATGGCTGCTTGATCAGACGTGGGCATATTGTCGGCCTCGTCTTGGACCGATACGATTTGACACTCAAACAGCGACTAGACAGGAAGCTGATTCGACAACTTGACGTCGAGAGCTTTATGACACAGATCGCGTCCGCAATCAGCCATCTTCACTCGCTTGGGTTGGCGTATAACGACCTCACGCCTATGAATATAATGGTCGATGACAACGAGACGCTTTTCCTCATCGACTTTGGTTCTTGTCAGCCATTTGGGAGCACGCTTATAACAGCGGGTACGCCAGAGTGGACCGATGAGGACTTTACCAATTCAGCGAAGAAGAACGATGAAATTGCTCTGGATAAACTTAGAGCTTGGCTGCATACGATGAAGGAGCGAAAAATAGAAGGGGAAACAAGTAAACGATATTATTAGAGATGGCCATTGTGTGACTATCATGTAAACGTATCCGTTAGCGTGCGTGCCGAGAAAATCCTTAGATACTTTCACTTCAAGCAATTCGAACGCTTTGAATAAGTCAAAAATCTCCGTATTCCGGTATCAGTTGTGTGCTGCGACTATTCCTAACCGCGGCCTTCAATAGTGAAGGAACCTCCAACGACGTAATTTCAACCATGTTTATTCCACCCACCAAACACCTTCCAGTGCTTCTATAACCGTCTTGAACCACTTCTCGCCTTCCAGGGCTGCACGTTACACTACATCAACATCCTCTAATGACTGGTCCGTCTCTCGCCTCATTGGCTAAGACGATGTATTTGTCGATGGCGGCACATAATGGCCGGACTGTTTACAATCTGTGCGTTCACAGTCTACGGGCTGCCCGACGATGGCGGTAGTGGCCCAAAAGGCATAGTGACGGCGGGCGCGTCAAGCACAACGACGGCAGCAACGGCACGAGCAAGATATGACGAGGCACAACAATGCCGCCAGCTACTACCGCTTAGACAACCAGGTCTACTGTTATCTATATAAGAACATCTAGACAGCTAGCTTTTACAATCAATCCTGCTGCCACATTTCAACTAGTTATGAGCCTGGACGCATCTATTGCGATTTCCTTTTCAGCCCGAGCAGGCTTCCTTCCTGGCTACGATAAGACCGGTCCGACAAGAGCGCACACACTCTCAGACCGACAGCGGAAGCTCACCCCACACACCCACCCCATGGCACGACGAACGGAAAGCGAATTCCAGAGCCAGAGCCAGAGCCAGAGCTACAGTCAGGGCTATTGCGGAGGAATCATAGTCACGGGGAGCAGCGTCAGGAGGGTGTTGCCCACTGCAGGGATCTAAGGCCTGAGGAGAAGAGCCTTCCAGGTGAAGCTCAAGATGAAGAGATCATGGGATCCTTTGGGTTGCCACGGCCCTTCGGGTCCATGACACAGGGGGAGTGTTGCAATAACAAGAAATCCTTGTATTGACGGTCTCAGTGTAGTACACTTTCAATAATCCTCATTGCGACTCCCCTCATAGCCGACGATTGCCCTCTCAAAAGCATCTATCATCGGTTGGTACAGCCTTTCGGGGTCGTGGTAGGTCCCCGTAAACAACGCTTCCTCTCGGATTGGAAACAATAGTCTGCGGAGCTCTTCGGCCAAGCCTTTAAGACCGTGAAAAGCTTGCGGGAACTCGGCAAGGATGCCTTGAAACGCCTTTTTATCCATATGCCCTCTTTTTATTTCCGCGGTTTGGTCGTAGCTTCCTGCATACCAACGTCGAAGCCGGCTTGTCTTCAGCAAAGCCTTGTCCCTTGCTTGACTGATAATCCACACGAAGACGTAGAAAAACGACTCCAAGTCATGCCGGTACGTATGCGGTTTGCCTTCCAGAATCTCGATTGCCATGAATTCCATGGTGCCAGTTCGATGTCTCGCTCCGCTCGGGCCTCCGTCAAGCTCTTTCCCCAGATCCAAGTCGATAATCATGCCTGTAGGGTCTTCTTTCCACTCTGCGTCCGTGATAATGATGTTGTTTTCAGAAATATCACGATGAAGTATCTTTCCGTCGCAGTACAGAGATCTGTGTGCTTTGACAAAGTCGCGACATGCCTCAAGAAATTCGTGGACTGAGGTGAACTCGCGAAGAGGACGCCCTGGAGGGGAGGTAATCAGGCAAGAGAATATTCGATTTTCGAAAAGTCCATCGTCCTGAACATCAGGAGCCGTGAGACTGTTCACGTCGGAGTTCTTGTCGACATAATTGCTGGCGCCTCCAACAGCAATATCCGTCTGCGCAGTGACTAATCCTGTGCTGCGTGATCGTCTGCAGCTTCCCGACCTGGACCGTTTCGGTGGAGGCGCCATAGGTTTTTCTTCTGCCCTTTTCCGCTTCTGGGCGGACGATGATGAGTTACGAGGCGTTAGACTGATCCCTAAGGCATTCGCTAGCAGGCTGCTTTGTGTTCTTGAACGGCTCTGGTTGATCGAGTCTCGCCGTGCCGACCTGAATGTTTGAGGCTTTCCGAATTTCAACCCGCTCCGCAGCTCAGCTATCGCGTCTAGATCGTGGTGATCTGTCAGCTTTGCAACGCCCCAGACATTCCTTTCTTTTGCCAATTTTAACAACTCTCCCTCAGCCTGCCTCTTGTCCGACCGCCAGGCAAATTTGACAACATATTGCCATCGCTGAGAACCGCGCTTCTTCGCTCGATAACAGGCAGTGCCTCTGCATACGATGGCCCGCTGAAATGCGATCGGTGTGTCTTCCAGATAGACGCGGTCCTTCTTAGTCTCCTCTTCAAGTACAATATATTTGCCCTCTTTGTCCTCTTTGATGTACGTGTTCATGCCCAATTCTTCGTCACTCATCCTCGTGTAACCGAACATGATTTGGATGAATCGACGCGGGTCCTTGTGAATGTCGAATTTTTTGCTACCGTATAGCCCTGATCTATCGAATACCCAAAGCTCCATGATAGATCCGCGGATAACGAAGCCATGGAGGAATCGCCTCGTCGGTTGAGCGGCGAACACCTCCCGAGCGTGTCCAGTGAACTTGAGCAGCTCTTCCGTGTACTTTCCTCGTATTTCGCTCTGTTTGAGCTCTCCGATCACGCGTACATCTGCCCAGTTGTACTTGCCGCCGTGTTTGGAAACGTTGGTGGGGGCGAGGAAAAGGTCTGGCTTGCGCTTGCAGTCGGAGCCGGCCAACGGGTGGTCTGGAGACGCATAGAACATGCTGCGTCCTCTGCAGAGAAATCCGCTTTGGAATCCCCAGAACCAGTCGAAGAAAGCGTCCTGCGACGGGACTGTTGGATATTCTGTCCAGCGACCACTTCGCACTTGTGGATTCGCCATTTGTGTTATACGGTACGCGTCAGCCGACCACTCCTTCTCTTCGAAGTATTTTCCATAAAAGCCACCAGTATCCCTGTAGACGCAACCGTTGATCTCTTGCAGTATGCGCTCGTCGATATCGTCATGAGTCTGTTCGTCGGCGTGCTGGGAGGAGGAGGTGGACTTGAGAGGCGTGTCGAGGGGCACTTTGCTGAAGACGGTTGGGGGGTCCGTGGTGTAACTCGCAAGAAGCGCGAAAAGAGCTGTGCAGATCTCTTCATCGGATGCATGCCTGTCGATGTGTTCGAACAAGGGAATGAATGATGTTGCATCGAAGTCGGCGGATTCAATTCGGGTACCGAGGCTGAAGAGATCTCGCAAAAGCGTTCCGGCGCCGCTAGGGGAAGGGAGTTTGCGGGCCAGTGGAGCCCTTTGCAAGACAAGGACTAGATCGAGGACTAGATCAAGGACCAGTTCTTTGATGTCTAAGGAAGTCAGGTCATCCTTTATCCGAGTGCTTTCGATCTCGTACCTGAGGTTTCCACTAGCCGGGCGATTCGCGACTGATGATTCTTCAGTCCAGAAAGGCTCAGCTCGTCACATTGTGACTGAAGCGCGTCGCGGAAGCCGTCTAACCGCTCTCCGATGGGGTGCTGTGCAATCAGTTCGGTGTTAGGGAGTGCAATCATGGTGAAAATAAGTTATAATGTTTCCATTCATGGTGTAATCTTCAAGAAGAAGGGGGAAAAGCGCGTCGACTGGTAGTTGCAGGGAGATTGTTTTGGTTCGACGGGCCCTCTAACCCGAAGTTTCGCCTAAACCTGCCCGTCCCCGGCAGATATTTCCACTTCTCGGGCTACTCGCCCCACGCGCCAAGGGTAGTCACCCTTGGCCCTCCCGGGCTCAACGAAAAAACCAAGCTCAGTGTAAATTTATCCCACAACTACTAAACTAACTCTAATAAGTCGCCGTAATGCCTGCGTACACGAGTGGAGTTGGAAATGCTCAAAACGGGAACGGCGGTTTTGCTAGTGACCGTACAGTGGTTTAAGCAAAGCTTTCGAGTTATTCAGGCAGGTGAGCAATAGGTTTCGAGTGCTTCACGCAAACAGAATCTGGATCTCCTTCCGGACCAACAGCCCTCATTTGTTAACTCACAACGGGTGTCAAGAGAACGTCGCTATCTAGTTATCCTCATATCGCGACACCTCAACGCCGCATCCTCTGCTCTAAAACCATCTGCACATTCGCCCCCCACCACGTCCGAAATTCAGACTGCCCCCACTTCGTGATATCAATCAAATTCGCAAGCAACCTCTTCGAGCCCTCAAGAGTCAACGTATCGCCCAGAGCCAGTGGTCCGAAGAAGAAGAGCTCGTATTCATCTTCTGGGAGCGTCGTCGGTCCTTCTTCAGCTTCCGTTTCAGGTGCATCCCCTTCCCTATTTCTGGGAGACTCGGCTGTAGCGCTGGTGCGTGGCACGGCGCGTGCAGCAGCGACACGCAGTAGCCAATTATCACCATCAATCTCTATGGTGAACACCGGAAACCCGAGATCCCATTCCTCGTACCTCCGCTTTGTAAACTCGGCGGCAATCCACGCCGCGAGCTGGACTGTCGGGTCCCGGGCGACGTGTCGGCGCTTGACCTCGATGTTGAGGAAGATAGGAGTCTCGTTGGCGAACGAGGCGGTCTGATTGATAGACGGGGCGGCCGTGCAATATTTGGTGCGGCGGAGCGTTTTAAGCGTGGTTCGGTGGAGATCGAGGCCGACGACGTAGTCGATGCGTTTGTCGAGGTCGCGGTAGAGGGCGGGGTCTTTGGAGAAGGGGACGAGCTCGGCGGGGGAGATCTCGATGGGCGTTCTAAAGATCGTGTCAGCTCAGATTATGCATGATATGATGATTTATGGACGTACACGTCGAGGACAGCAATTTTCGCATTGGGGACAGCAGAATTCTTGAAGCTCTCAATTCGGCGCAGGAGATGCAGTATGGGACCCACCACGACGGATATCCAGTGTGGTTCGGTAGTTGTGTTGCGCCATTTCTCCGCTTGCTCGAATGCGTCAGACAAAGTGTCGTCGATGATTCTGTGGTCTTTGTCGGTGAGAGGAACGGGAGGGTCCGTTATTAGCGAGTCGAGCTGTCGTTTCTGGTGGTGTCAGCATATAATGCCTGGACGAACGCAGGCAAGAGCCCATCTCACCTCGCAACGGCTCCAGAGCTCCGTGACGGATGCGGGCAGCGATATGCCAGTCTCCTCGGTATTCCTCAAGGGAAGAAACTCGATGTTTGGGTTGAGGTATGCCAGGTCCGCCTTTGTAGAGGCTGTCTTCTTCTTTGGAGGCGATAGCGAGCGTAAAGATGACGCGGGCGCGGGGAACGAGGGTGCACCCTCGGAGAACGCATTAGCTGCGCTTCGTTGAACGTCTGCGTCGGCTTCTTCCAGTTGCCCCTGTCGCCCCTTTCGACGTGTCGCTACCACCATATCCTTCTTCGGGGGGGATCTGTCTCTCCTCGATCGGCGTGTCGGTGAGGCTGCAGCCATATTGCGTGTTGCGGCGTTTAATCGTTGCGAGGTGGTGCGGAGACTGCGCAGCATCCGCTGGCGCTTGGCAGTGGGGAGCGCATCGTCATGGCCGGCCTCGGAGTCGGCGACCGCGACCACCCAGCGCGCAATGTCGGGGCCTTGTTTACATGGCGGCAGGGCGTGTAGGCGGCCGAACACAGCTTCGTTATGCGTGCGCTTGGACGAATACCGGGCGATTGCCATGAGCTGCGGCGACGGGCGGGATAGTCTGCGAGTGTTGAGTGCAATTGCGATGTTGATGTTGTTGATGTCGCAGTTCCACAATAGCGCCAAGCCAGAGCCTATCTCGTTTATCGGCTTGGCACAGCGTTAACTAATTTTTTAACCACCTCTAATCTTAGCTTTAAAAGAATAGTTAGTTAAAAACTTATATAACGTACTTTACAAGTAAACTAACTATATAAGTAAGCTAACTACCTTTTTTTTAGCAAGAAAATTAACGAAAATTAACCTATTTTTCTTAAATAACTAAGTAAAACCTTAATATTTTTCTATAAAAATTTATATATATATTCTTTATAGTATATTATATCTTATACTAAAGTTATACTAAGAGATATTACGTAATTAAAAAGCTATATATATTTAGGTAACTTTTAAAAAAAATCTAGTTTACTTCTAGTTAGTACTATTATATCTCTATAATAATCTATAAAACTTATAGTATATAATATTTATAACGTAATAAAGATTTCTAGTAAACTTTTATAGAGCTAGCTCTTCTAGGTATAGTATAATAAGAAATAGAAGTTAGAAAAATAATTTCTTTAAAGTTTTCTCTTCTAACTATATATATATATAGTTAATCTAGCTATATAAACTTATTATTTTATAAATTATAGTAAGCTTTAACTATATAGAGCTTATTAACTAATAATATAGTTACTTTAAGTAGTTATTTAAAAGTAAAGCCTTTTTAGTAGTATAGTATAGAAAGATAAAAAGATACTAAAACTATATTAAAATTATTACTTCTAAATATATAGAAGACTTATAGTATATATAATCTTATAGTATATAACTTTATATAGCTAGATTATTTATATATATCTATAGTTAGAGAAGAAAACTCTAGAGAAGATTTTTCTAACTTTTATTTCTTATTACGCTATACCTAGAAAAGCTAGCTATATAAAAGTTTTCTAGAAATCTTTATTAGATTATAGATACTTTATACTATAAATTTTATAGATTATTATAAAGATATAATAGTACTTACTAGAAGTAAACTAGATTTTTATTAAAAATTACCTAAATATATATAGCTTTTTAATTATATAATATCTCTTAGTATAACTTTACTATAAGGTATAATATACTATAGAGAATATATATATAAATTATTATAGAAAAGTAGTAAGGTTTTACTTAGTTATTTAAGAAAAATAGATTAATTTTCGTTAATTTTCTTACTAAGAAAAAGATAGTTAACTTACTTATATAGTTAGTTTACTTATAAAGTATATTAATATACTTTATAAGTAAATACTCTAATATACTTAATAAATAAACGCTCTAGATAAATAAATACTCTAAAAATACTAAGTCTCTACTAAATACTACTATTTTATTTAGATTACTCTAACTTTAAGCTACTTAAGATAAATCTAGATAAGCTATCTAACTTATCTATATTATCTTTAACTATCTAGTATATTTATACGTTATATTCTAGCTTACTATAGCGTCTATAGTATTACTAAGCTAGCTAGCTATTATATACTACTATCTTTTTATACTACTTCTTACTTTTATTTTAATTTATAACTTCTTTTTAAGTAACTAGCTATAAGCTAGCTTTAATTATAAAAGTATTCTCTTTTTAAATCTACTTTTTTTTATATAAATTATACTTTTTTTTCTATACGTTAGCTACTTAAAGCTAGATAACTTTAGACTTTATAAGTACTAGCTAATACGCTATTAACTTATTATCTTTTTTAAGCTAATTAAGTAACTTAATAATATAAGTTAGTAATAAATTAAGATACTATATAATTTTTAATTAAATTAGAGTTAATTAAAATCTTACTTTAATAAGATTACTAGATATTTTATACTTCTAGGTAGTAGTATTAATAGTAGAGAGTATTAGTATATATAATTAAACTTTAAGCTTTTATACTACTAAATCTAGATTAAATAGAACTAAGCTAGCATTTCTAAATTCTACTCTAATATTATTATCTATAATTAATATATAAAAGACTATATAAAATATAGATAGAAACTTAGTTTTTATAATATAGTTAATATAGCTATATATTAGAATCTTAACTTAGTAGCTATATACTACCTTTAATAGTAAGAAGTAGCTAATATTAAGTAGCTATAGAAGATATAATAAATATACTAGTATATAAAAAGCTATAATTTTATTCTTTTTATAATACTACTAGAATTTAATAAAGCTATAGCTTTTATAGCTATCTAAAATTAGTAAGTAATATATATCTATAATATAACTTTTAGTATATATATTAAAGTACTTTAGCTATATAATACTAACTTTATTTATTATTTAGCTACTTTTAAAGATAGCTATAATCTAGTTATATAGTAGCTAGCTACTTTTATACTATACTAAGAGATAGTTCTTCTCTATAATAATAAGAAATAGTAGAATCTATATATTATCTACTACTTTTACTATTATAATTACTAAAATCTACTTATAATTATCTAGTTAAAAGCTTTTTAGTTATAATTATCTTTTAGAGCTAGTAACTACTATCTAAGATAATATTATTTCTCTTATAAAGCTAGATTTATTAAAATTATATATATCTTTATTAGTAATACTATACTTTATCTTTATATTACCTACTTAGTTAAACTATATCTAAATAATTATAGAATTTTTTTACTTTACTTTTTAATAGTTATACCTATAATTAAGCTATATTTTAAGCTTAGAATAGCGCGTAATAAGTTATTTAGCTAGTTCTTATCTATAACCTTTTCTCTCTACTCTATAAGTAGCTTATTAGCTATATCTTAAATAGTAGTAAGCTAAAAGATAAATTCTTATATATCTAGGTCTAGTATATACTTAACTATTATCTACTCTTTATTTATAGTAAGCTTTATTAAATTAGATATTTTTTTATATTATAAAGTAGCTCTATTATATTAATTATAAACTTTCTTCTATAGTATATTATAGAAAGCTATAGCGCGCTATAAGCTTAGCTCTAGATTCTATTAAATAGTCTAAAGTATAAGCTATATCTATAATTTATTTAAAGTTAATTAGATATTTATAAAAAGCTTTATAATAGAGATAGTAGTATTTAGTAAAAGCTTAGTATTTTTAGAGTAACGTACTTTATTACCGAAAGCTCTATATTACTAAAAGCCTTACGATTTCTTAGCAAGGAAAATCAACGAATATTAACGAGCTTTTCTTAAATAACTAAGCAAAACCTTAATATTCTTCGATAAAAATTTATATATAGATTCTTTATAGTATATTACACTTTATAGTAAAGTTGTACTAAGATATATTACGTAATTAAAAAGCTATATATATTTAGCTAACTTTTAAGAAAAATCTAGTTTACTTCTAGAGAGTACTATTATATCTCTATAATAATCTATAAAACTTATAGTATATAGTATTTATAACTTAATAAAGGTTTCTAGAAAACTTCTATAGCGCTCGCTCTTCTAAGTATAGCGTAATAAGAGATAGAAGTTAGAAAAATTTCTTCTTAAAGCTTTCTTCTTCTAACTATATATATATAGTTAATCTAGCTCTATAAACTTATTATTTTATATATTATAGTTAGGCTTAACTATATAGAGCTTATTACCTAATAATATAGTAGCTTTAAGTAGTTATTTAAAAGTAAAATCTTTTTAGTAGTATAATATAGAAAGATAGAAAGATACTAAAACTATCTTAAAATTATTACTTCTAAATATATAGTAGGCTTATAGTATATATAATCTTATAATATATAACTTTATATAGCTAGATTATTAATATATATATAGTTAGAGAAGAAAACTCTAGAAAGACTTTTTATAAACCTCTATCTCTTATTACGCTATACCTAGAAGAACTAGCTTAATAAAAGTTTTCTAGAAACCTTTATTCTATTATAAATACTATATACTATAAGTTTTATATATTATTATAGAGATATAATACTACTAACTAGAAGTAAACTAGATTTTATATAAAAGTTAGTTAAATACGTATAGCTTTTTAATTATGTAATATATCTTAGTATAACTTTGCTAGAAGGTATAATATACTATAGAGAATATATATATAAATCTTTATAGAACTATATTAAGGTTTCGCTTAGTTATTTAAGAAAAGCTCGTTAATTTTCGTTAATTTTCCTTGCTAAGAAATCGTAGGCGGTTTAATAGTGTAGGCGGTTCGATAGTAAAGTACATTAACTTTATTATAAGGTATAATAACGTACTTTACTAGCAAACGCCCTACACTACTAAACGCTCTAAAAATACTAAGCTCTTACTAAATACTACTATCTTAATTATAAAGCTCTCTATAAACGCCTAATTAACTTTAGATAAATTCTAGATATAGCTTATACTTTAGACTATTTAGTAAAACTTAAAGCTAAGCTTATAACGCGCTATAGCTCTCTATAACGTACTATAGAAGAAAGTTTACTATTAATATAATAGAGTAACTTAAAGATGTAAAAAGATATCTAATTTAATAAAGCTTACTATAAATAAAGAGTAGATAATAATTAACTATATACTTAACCTAGATACGTAAGAATTTACTCTCTAGCTTGCTACTATTTAAGATATAGCTAATTAGCTACTTACTAAGTAAGAGAGAAAGGTTATAGGTAAGAACTAGCTAAACTACTTTATTATACGCTATCTAGAGCTTAAAATATAGCTTAATTATAGGTATAACTATTAGAGAGTAAAGTAAGAAAATTCTATAATTATTTAGACGTAGTTTAACTAAGTAGGTAATATAAAGGTAAAGTATAGTATTACTAATAAAGATACGTATAATTTTAATAAATCTAGCTTTATAATAGAAATAATATTACCTTAGGTAGTAGTTACTAGCTCTAAGAGATAATTATAACTAAAGAGCCTTTAACTAGATAATTATAAGTAGATTTTAGTAATTATAATAGTAAGAGTAGTAGATAAAATATAGACTCTACTATTTCTTATTATTATAAATAAGAACTACCTCTTAGCATAGTATAAAAATAGCTAGCTACTACATAACTAGGTTATAGCTATCTCTAAAAGTAGCTAGATAATAAATAAAGTTAGTATTACTAGTTAAAGTACTTTAATACGTATACTATAAGTTACATTATAGATATATATTATCTACTAATTTTAGATAGCTATAAAAGCTATAGCTTTATTAAATTCTAATAGTACTATAAGAAGAATAAAATTATAGCTTTCTATATACTAGTATATTTATTATATCTTCTATAGCTACTTAACGTTAGCTACTTCTTACTATTAAAGGTAGTATATAGCTACTAAGTTAAGATTCTTATACGTAGCTATATTAACTATATTATAAAAATTAAGTTTCTACCTATATTTTACGTAGCTTTTTACGCGTTAATTATAAATAATAATATTAGAGTAGAATTTAGAGACGCTAGCTTAGTTCTATTTAATCTAGATTTAGTAGTATTAAAGCTTAAAGTTTAATTACGTACGCTAATACTCTCTACTAATAATACTACTATCTAGAAGTATAAAATACCTAGTAATTCTACTAAATTAAAGTTATAATTAACTCTAATTTAAAGAAAGATTACGTAGTACTATAATTTATTACTAACTTATATTATTAAGTTACTTAATTAGCTTAAGAAAGATAATAAGCTAATAGTGTATTAGCTAGTACTTATAGAGTCTAAAGTTGTCTAGCTTTAAGTAGCTAACGTATAGAAAAAGAAGCGTAATTCGCGTAAAAGAAAGTAGATTTAGAAAGGTAATACTCTTATAATTAAAGCTAGCTTATAGCTAGTTACTTAAAGAAAGGCTATAGATTAGAATAAGAGTAAGAAGTAGCGCGAAGAGGTAGTAGTACGTAACGGCTAGCTAGCTTAGTAACGCTATAGACGCTATAGTAAGCTAGAGTATAATACGTAAACGTGCTAGGTAGTTAAAGATAATATAGCTAAGTTAAATAGCTTATCTAAATTTATCTTAAGTAGCTTATAGTTAGAGTAATCTAAATAAGATAGTAGTATTTAGTAAGAGCTTAGTATTTTTAGAGTATTTAGTAGTATAGAGCGTTTACTAGTAAAGTACGTTATACTAAAAAGAATATATTTATAAATTTTTATAGAAAAATATTTAGGTTTTACTTAACGTACTTTATAAGCAAACCGACTATACAAGCAAGCTAACTACCTTTTTCTTAGCAAGAAAATTAACGAAAATTAACTTATTTTTCTTAAATAACTAAGCGAAACCTTAATATTTTTCTATAAAACTTTATATATATATTTCTTATAGTATATTATACTTTATTCTAAAGTTATACTAAGATATATTACGTAATTAAAAAGCTATACGTATTTAGGTAACTTTTAAGAAAAATCTAGTTTACTTCTAGTTAGTACTATTATATAGTATATATAAATTAATAAAGGTTTCTAGAAAACTTTTATAGAGCTAGCTCTTCTAGGTATAGCGTAATAAGAGGTAGAAATTTAAAAATTTTTTTTATAAGTTTTCTTCTCTAACTATATATATATATTAATATTCTAGCTATATAAAATTATATATTATAAGCTAATATATATTATAAGCCTGCTATATATTTAGAAGTAATAATTTTAAGATAGTTTTAGTATCTTTCTCTCTTTCTATACTATACTACTAAAAAGACTTTACTTTTAAATAACTACTTAAAGCTTCTATATTATTAGTTAATAAGCTCTATATAGTTAGAGCCTACTATAATTTATATAATAATAAGTTTATATAGCTAGATTACCTATATATATATATAGTTAGAAGAGAAACCTCTAAAGAAGATATTTTTCTAACTTCTATCTCTTATTACGCTATACCTAGAAGAGCTAGCTCTATAGAAATTTTCTAGAAACCTTTATTAGGTTATAGATACTATATAATATAAGTTTTATATATTATTATAAAGATATAATAGTACTAACTAGAAGTAAACTAGATTTTTCTTAAAAGTTACTTAAATATATATAGCTTTTTTATTACATAATATATCTTAGTGCAACTTTAATATTAGGTGTAATATACTGTAAAGAATATATATATAAATTTTTATAGAAAACTATTAAGGTTTCGCTTAGTTATTTAAGAAAAACGAGTTAATTTTCGTTAATTTTCTTGCTAAGAGAAAGGTAGTCGGCTTGCTTATATAGTCGGTTTACTTATAAAGTACGTTAGTTATTTAAGAAAAATAAGATAATTTTTATTAATTTTTATTACTAAGAGAATATAACTAGCTTACTTATATAACTAGCTTACTTATAAAGTATATTAGCTATTATAAGTAATAAGAATACTATTTAGTCTATAAAGAAAAAGTATTATTATAATTATAGAATTAACTAGATAAGAAACTAATTTAAAGAAAGACTAGAGAAAAGAGCGACAGAGCAGGGAACGGCCACGTGAGGAGTCACGTGAGGAAAGGCGTAGGGATCCCAGTCACGTGATAGGGATCATGCCAAGAAGGTAATCCCGTGAATTCTATTAGAATTAGTAGAATTATACTAAGAGAAGGCCCAGGTGAACACGGAGCTCATGCTGCTAGCAGTAGCCAGCGACTTGGCAGAGGCGATATGCGCTTCCCCAAACGAACGCGTGTGCCATGGTTGGAGTCGGACGACCTGCGGTTACACGCGTACAAGACGACCATGGATATGAAGTGGAAGGATATATTTGAATGCTTCCCAGATCGGACACCGGCTGCAGTACGGACGCGCTGGCACATGCTGCGTGGGAAACACCCATCACTACACCTATGCCGTCGCCGAGGAAATGACGACGCTCGGATCGACGGAAGCGCTGCACGGTATGATCATGTGGCATCAGTTCATGGCGAGATTGAGGAGCCGTACTTTCCGTCCAATCGACCCCGCTCCTCTGATTCCTTTTCTGTTAGAAAGCGAAAGAGATATGAGGACATGGATACTCGGTTCGAAGCCGATGCCGAAGCTGCGCCTATTGCTGTTGGTAGCGGCTGGCTGGAGGACGGGATAATTACGGATATGACGCCAGACGCCAATGCGACGGACGCCCAGCACCCAAACTCCTGCGTCTTCGGCGGACTTCGACATCATTCAAAGAATCGATCCTCGCTTGCTGGGAGATGGACCAAGCGAAGGGCAGGTTAAAGCCGCTCGACGAAGCCGCGATCCGCTAGAGACTGATAGCGACAATGAGGGCGAGAGCCGTACGCCGAATGACAATACGAACACGGAGGTGGATGAGGACTTGGGTACGTCGGCCCTGGAGTGGCCAGAGTTAAACAACTCCATCAGCAGCCGCGATCTCCTGAGATCTACTCTCCTGAGCGTGAGAGAAGACGACGACGGCACATTGAGGGACAAGTGGAAATGCCTTCTCGCCAATACTGATAACCATAAGCGTCGTCGAATGTCGGACAAAACATCGAAGCAGCGGGGCAAGCGGGTCGGGGAAGCTCTCTGACCAATCGCCGACTTCGCCCACCAGCACGCGCCTCTGACACGTGCCGCGCAACCTTTCCGTGACCCGACTCTCTCCGACGACGTCACACTCAAATTACGGTGGGTGCATGAGAGATGAGAGAAGTGTGATGTAAGACGGTTAGTGTGAGCGGCGATGGCGCGACCACGGGTACTGGCCGGAATAATGCTGGCAAGTCTTGGCCGGCTCCAAAGATCTGCCGAAACCCCGGCGCCTTAACGCCAAGGTCGCACGTGTTATCAGCGATGCGTCCAGCGCCTTGATCGATGTTGGCGGAAGCCGCCATACGGCACCTGGCAGGAGGACTGGAACGTATTGTTTACTGTTGAGGATCACGTGCTGATCACGTGATCGCGCTAGCCTAGTGTATATAGCCAGAGCTTTCAGCTCTCATACAATCAACAATGTTACACTCCACTTCGTTACTTCAACAATCGAAGCTCTTGGAATTCGCATTAAGAAACCCGCCGCTAACGCCTCACCAACAAGAAGCCCTTCGCTCACCAACGAGAAGCCCTTCGCCCACCAACGAGAAGCCCTTCGCTCACGTCCAGCGAGTCATCACGTCATCCTTATCGCTTCCATAATGTTAACTCCGTACTTTAATCTCGCAAACTACTATAAGACCCAGCACGAAGACAGTAGAGCCTTGGCAATTAACAACATACCTATTTGTCGTTTTCTAGCTTAGATAGCTCTCTATACAACTATAAAGTTCTTTAAACGTAATAGGTTCTATATACTAATTTCTAGGTATAAAATTCTTAAAATAGAATATTTAGTACACCTAATAGAAGCTACTATAATAGAATATATTACTTAATATATATTAATACCTATTTCTAAAGTATATTACTTCTTTCTCTATAAGAATAGAGTATATATTATTATAGAGCGAATTTAAGGTAACGAGCTAGCAAGCACCTAGAAAAACCTATCTAAGAAGTCTTTTTAAAAAATTCTCTTATAGTTAAAGAATATAATCTAAGAGCTCTAGTCTCTATAGCTACTATCTAATATAGAAGTAGAGAGCTACGTTAGTAACTTATTATATAATTCTTACCTACTCTATAGTACTCTATAATTTAGTCTCTTTAAGACTATCTAAGAATTATACTACTAGCTAAGAGATAATATTTAAGTAATATAGTTAGGTAACTACGTTACTAAATAAGAAGCTAATAATATTAAAGCTATAATTACTTAATAGAATAGCTAATAGTCTTCTCTAGTTTTTATATATTATAATTTAAACCTATTTAACATCTTAATCTATAGGTAAGAGATAGTTAGAATTATTAATTAGAAATTCTTAGAGTAGTATTCTCTATATTAGAAATATACGTCTGCGTAGCTTAGAAATCTTACTAGAGGTAAATAGCAAGCTATTCTTCTTTTGTTACTTAACCTCTATTCTAAGAAGCTTAAAATAGAAAAAACGCGTAGTAAATAGTAGAGTAAGTAGTAAAGCTAGTAGAATATTATATAATAGAACTATTCGAACTTAACTAAACTATTTTCGCCTTAAGGTATAGTCTTATTCTTCTTAAGTAAGTTATAGGTTAGCTTTAGTTTTAATATATTCTCTACCTTTGTATATCTCTCTATAGTAGTTTTATAAGTAACGTATTATCTTATAAATAGCTTAATGTTTTTCTAATCTAGCTAAGAAGTGCCTACACACTTTCTATTCTTCGTAATTTTCGCTAGAGCCTACTTAACCTAGCTACAGTATCTCTAATTTAGGTTACTATTAACTACTAGAAGACGTTAAAGAAGATTAACTAGACGCTATTTATCCTCTACTTTTATAATAATAATATACGTAAGTAGTATATTTATTACTTAAATATTACTAATAAGCACCTCTTTGTATATCTATCTACTAATTATATTATTCTTAACGTAGTAGCGTACGCTAGAGACATCTACGCCTTTCTTCGCTTTTAGTCTAATTAGAAACGCCTAATAAAACCTAGAAATATTAGTTAATATCTAACATATTAGAGAAGCTTTTTATAAGACCTTCTTTTCTTATTATCTACTACTCTACTAGAATATAGAGTAATATATAGACGCTTTTTATTTATAGCTATAACGCCTCGATTAGAAACTATATAGGTAGATATAAACTAAAGAAAATAAAGATAGAAAAAGCTAGAAACTAAGAGAACTATTTAGTATTTACTAGAAAGGCTAAGTAGACGAGAAGCTAGAGCATTAAGCCGTGTTATAATAGTTATTTTACCTTAGAATAGTATAATAACAGGTGCGCGTAAAAGAGGTATTTTATTAAGTAGTTAGAATATCTTTTCTATTAGCTTCTCGCTCTATCTATATAGCGTCTCTAGTAGCTAAATATAGCATAGTAGCGTTCTCTTTTTACTAATTATTAGCTAAGCTAGAATTAGTAAACGCTATAAACTATAGCGCTATTAGAATAGCGGCGCTACTAATTCTATATTAGCCTATAATAGCTGTATCGTACTCTATAACGTATTTTCTCGTTACTCTTATACTAAGTGCTTTAGTCTTAGAGCTTAAAGCTCTAGAAATAGATTATATAAATCTTTTAGTAGCGTATACATCTCTACGTCTTACGCCTCTAAACTATTAAATCGTAATAAAGAGTAATAGTCTAAGCGCGTAAGAATAAGTAGTATAAGCTTCTATTTAGTATATATATAGAAATAAAGAGTATATTTTAATATATTCTTTAAGAAAAAAGAGAGAAACTCTAATACGTGTCTATACCTATACTTAACTACGTGCTAAAATAATAGGTAATATAAGCTATTACCTAGAGTATAGCTAAGAGTTTAGATAGCAGGTTTAGCTAAGTAGTATAGAGTAATATATAATTTTTAGTTAGAAGTTAGCTAATAGCTCTATTAACTATTACGTGCTATTATAGCTTAAAACACGTCTAGAAGCCTTTTCTACCTAATAACTATCGCGTACCTAGTGTTCGTTTTAATTCTAGCGTCTAAAGATTATACTATAGTATACGCTAGCTAATATTAATAATATAAACCTCGCCTACTATTATACTATCTAGTAGACGCTATATAGAATATACTATTCTATTAAGTAGCTAGTTAATAGGTTTTCTATAGAATTCTATACTTCTAAAAGGTTTAGTTATAGATCTTTAGGTATATATTCTCTTGCTTACTCTAATAATAGAGATGCTATAATAAGCAGCGCTATTATTAAAAGCTATCTAGCCTAGAGCCTAAAACCTATCTCTATATTTAGAGTTATAGTATATACTATAGAACTTATAGTTTAAGATAGTTAACTTAGCTAAAATTACTAGAGTATATATATAATTACTAGTACTATAAAATTTGTTTAGCTAAATATAACTCTTACGAATACTTAGATAAACTAGAGTAAGCTTAAAGTAAAAGAGTATACCTACGTTATATTACATTCTACTATAAAATTCTAGAATATTCTAGTAGCTATAGACGTTTAAGCTAGCTAGATATACTAAGCTATCTAGAATAATTATAGAGACTAGTATACTATATATAAAAAGAGTATAGAATATTATTAGTATATATATACTTACCTTCTAGCTATTTAGTTCGAGAATATTAACTAACTACTACTAGACTTACTATTATATAGAATCTTATTACTCTAAAATACGCTAATAAGCTAAAGATAGAAGAGGTATTAGCCTCTACTATAGAATTTAACTATTCGATTAAGTAAGTTCTAATTTCTCTACCTATAATTAAAGAGAAGTTTATATAGGTATAGGTTGTAAGAGATTATTTTAGAAATAGTGTCTAACTTTCTAATACCTACTAATTAATTACTTTATCTACTTTACTCTCTCTTACTCTTTATTAATTAAGGTTTATTCTATCTACTATTATCGCGCTAGGTTCTATAGTTTATCGTTAATACTCTCTAGTAGATAGTAGGTACCTGCCTAGCTATTAGTTAATAGCTATTCGTTGTTTGTTAGCTAACTATTTATAGGCTAACCTGCCCTCTCTCGACTCTACTGTTAACTAGGCCTTCTATAAGGTAATAAAGGCGATGCTAGCTAGTATTCTAGACGCTAACGCTGCTAATTGTCTACGTAAAACGCTAAAGAACGGCGCTACCTATAGCTTGCTGTATTAGCGCGCTATAAAGAACGTGTCTATTAGCGATTAGCTATTTATACTATCTCGACGCCGCCTAGCCGCCGCGGCTATTTACTTAGAGGTCTGCCGCAAGGCTCGTAAATTAGCGAATAGCTAGCCTTAAAGTCTAGCTACTACTCTACCGCTATACGTTCTCTACGGTTAGAAAAGGCGCGGTGTAGGCGGGCCTTAACAGTAACAACAACTAACGTTTTAGCTAGCTACTTTAGCTAGCTAGCTATTTCGGCTATCTCCTAAAGCTACCTTACCGCTACGGCGTTCTAGAGCCTTATTATCTATTCGATGCACTTGCTAACAAGCTACAGACTTACTAGCGATACTAATACCTTCTCTACCTTCCGAAGAACGCGTTTAGCTCGCAATTAAAGCTCTCTATGCTAGTTCTATCTCCTTCTAGTAAAAAGTAGCTAAATACTTTAATATCTCTAGATTCGCACTATAGAAACGCCTTAAGAGCCGTAGGCCTATAAAAGAGCTTTATAAAGCCTAGTAAAGAGTTACACCTAAAGAGAAGAATACTATTAAATAAACTCTAATTACTATAATAACTTAGAGCCTCTACTATTTATTACCTCTAATCTCTAGTAGTTAGTATACTAGAGATAGGTAGAGACTATAAACTACTTAGATAGTATTAGTATAAGTATTACCTTACTAGGCACCTAGATCTAAAGGTAGTATAGAATAGAAACCTTAATTAATTAAGAAAGAATACTATAGATTACTTAACGCTATAGTACTAGTTTAAGTTATACTAGAATACTTATACTAAGTATAGTATTCTACTAGCTAATTAGTATAACACGAATAAGAAGAGCTTTATAAAAGGTATTAGTAGTAATAATAAAGTTATTATTCTAGTTATAGAAGAAGAGGCCTATACTATATAGCTAGAAAATTATAACTAGGTATTAGTAATTAGCTATATTAATATTATTGCTCTCTCTACACTATAGCTAATTTATTCTCGAATTTATTACTATTAAGCGCGTAAGTAAAGAATAGATTATCTACCTATAAGCGTTAATTTCTATCTATCTTTAGAGTTCTATTCTTATAACTCTACTAGCCTTTCTAGTTAGAGAATAGTATTATAGCTAACTTTTACTTAATAGCTCTTATTATTATAAACGTTTAAGACGTAATAGATTAAGCTCTATTAAACTAGAAGTAGTATATAATATTAATAATAACGTATTTACCTAGCTCTATAATATTTTAGCTACGTCTATAGAAGAGCTGTCTCGTAGCGTAGCTACTAGACTAACTTTAAAGCTATAATAGCGTTGCTACGCCTAGGTATTAGTATATTCTCTTGCTAAGTTTAGCGCTATCTTGTTTTTTACTAGATTTTAGGTTAATTCTACCTTTATATATAGGCGCTAATTTCTTTAAATACTACTATGCTCGCTACTAGCTTAAATAACGTAGGCGAGATAGAGGTAAAGAGTAAGGCGAGAGTAGAGAGAGTAGAGATATATAATTCTTACTACTAGCTTAAATAGCGTTCGAGAGTAGAGGTAGTAGTAGAGAAGGTAGTAGAAGCAAAGGCGGTTAAGGTAGAGATAAGTAATTCTCGTTAGTAGCTTAAAGAACGTTAAAGAGCGATAGAAGAGACGGTAGATAAGATAGTAGGTAAGACGAGAGAGAAGATACATAATTCTCGCCGCTAGTTTAAATAGCGTTAAAGAGTAGAGAAGGTAAAGGTAGTAGAGGTAAAGGCGGTAGAGGCGTGCTTAGAGGTGTATTATCGATTCTAACTCTATAAATTTTCGTCTCTAAAGTAATTTCTTAGAAAGGTAACAAACGTACGAATAGCGTATAGCGATAGCTACTAGCACTATTAATAGCGGTAAAATACGCTCTTCTTCTAGCGTTAGCTAGTGTATATACTCTAAGAGAAAGTCGAACTAGTTCTTATTACACGAGCGAAGCTCTCTAATATAAGAGATCTTAAGAATCTTTAAGTAGAATTTCGCATAATTCTAATTAATAAAGTAGAGAGTACTATCTAGCTAAAGAATTATATTTTAAGAAATAAGGTCTATATAGCGTATAATAAGCTTGTATAGCTTTATATCGAGTAGTAGTAAGCTAATAATAGCTAGTCTCTTGTTTATTTATTTCTATATATCTTTAATAGACTTAGATAGCTTTCCCGCTCTAAAATCTAACTAGAAATAGCCTTCGGCCACGCCTTCTCTAACAGGTCCGGGTGGCTAGCCTTCTAGAAGCGGCACTTCGGCAAGATATAATATCGCTCTAGTAACTTTCGACATAATATAGAGTACTAACTTTAGGTTAATTAAATTTAAACGCGCGCTGTAGACGAATTCCGTAATTAGATACCTACGTAGTAAGCCTTTAAATAAATCTTCGAAGAAGTAGAACACCTCTAGAACGTATAGAATTAATTTATCGACGTTACTCTATATATACACTTAGGTAGTAGCCGTCTCTCTTATTACTTCTAGTCTGTGTTTTATAACTAAACTATTCGAAATTCGAACAACTTGAGGCGCCCTAGGTATTAGCAGTAAGCTTCGGCACAGCTAGATAAGTTTCGTATCGGCTTTTTAAAGAACAGCAGCATCGCTTAAGGTAAGTATTAGAGGTAATTTAAATAAAATTAGTCGAAGAGTGCGAAGAAGCAAGGTGCTAATAAAGTTCTTAATAGTATAGTAGAGAGCTTCTCTATTAAACATAGCGTAATCTAGCTTATATAATTAGCAAACTCTTTACTTCTAACGTACTTTATTAGCGAACGCTCTATATTACCGAACGCCTCACGATTTCTTAGCAAGAAAAATTAACGAAAATTAATAAGCTTTTCTTAAATAACTAAGCAAAACCTTAATAATTTTCTATAAAAATTTATATATATATTCTTTATTATATAGTATATTTTATATTAAAGTTACATATAGATATATTACGTAATTAAAAAGCTATACGTATTTAGGTAACTTTTAAGAAAAATCTAGTTTACTTCTAGTTAGTACTATTATATCTCTATAATAATATATAAAACTTATAGTATAAAGTATTTATAACGTAATAAAGTTTTCTAGAAAACTTTTATAGAGCTAGCTCTTCTAGATATAGCGTAATAAGAGATAGAAGTTTAAAATAATCTTTCTAGAGTTTTCTTCTCTAACTATAGATATATATAAATAATCTAGCTATATAAAGTTATATACTATAAGATTATATATACTATAAGCCTTCTATATATTTAGAAGTAATAATTTTAAAATAGTTTTAGTATCTTTCTATCTTTCTATACTATACTACTAAAAAGGCTTTACTTTTAAATAACTACTTAAAGCTACTATATTATTAGTTAATAAGCTCTATATAGTTAAAGCCTACTATAATTTATAAAATAATAAGTTTATATAGCTAGATTAACTATATATATATATAGTTAGAAGAGAAAACTCTAAAAAAGATATTTTTTAAACTTCTATCTCTTATTACGCTATACCTAGAAGAGCTAGCTCTATAAAAGTTTTCTAGAAACTTTTATTAGATTATAAATACTATATACTATAAGTTTTATAGATTATTATAGAGATATAATAGTATTTTCTAGAAGTAAACTAGATTTTTCTTAAAAGTTAGTTAAATACGTATAGCTTTTTAATTACGTAATATATCTTAGCGTAACTTTAATGTAATATATAATATACTATAGAGAATGTATATATTTATTTTTATAGAAATATATTAAGGTTTCGCTTAGTTATTTAAGAAAAACGAGTTAATTTTCGTTAATTTTCGTTGCTAAGAAATTATAAGAAGTTCGATAGTATAAGGCTTTTAATAGTAGAGTACGTTTATACTTTTCTACTAATTATTATAAGCTAATAGAATCTAGCTAATACACGACTAGAAGACGTATTCGCTAGTTTTTATAACGCGTCTAAATTAGAAAACCTAGAGTATAATTAGTTTAGTAAGAAACTACTTAATAAAGAAGAGTCTAACTATTCTATACGCGTTATAGAAGAGAACTTAGCTATAATTAGGTTGCTTAGTAGAATAAGTTAAAGTAAGTATACAAGTAGATTATAGTACTAATTTTACTAATAGATAATAGAATTTTCTTTTATTATAGAGAGTAATATAGCTAAAGAATAACATAGTATAACGTTTGTTAAGCCTAGTAATAAGGCGTGTAATTGTTAAGAGAATGATTACCGCGCGCCTGCTAGCAATAATAGACTCTATGCTAGATAATATAGCGACCTTAACGTAGCTAGAGCGCGCGTCTTTTCTAGAGATAATTTAGAAAGAATTTATTACGGTAAGTAGTACTAGTAGAGTTAAGGAGGCTATGTTAACGTCTTTTAAGACAGATTACTAGCGGAGGACGAATTACGCTCTAGCGATGTTAGTGTAACAGACGGACCGTTAGTAATACGTAAACGAATGCGCCCTTCTATAATAACTATCTCTCTAGCTGCAGCGCTAGATGTTATGCTAGAATTAGAGCTAGAAGACACCTATTTAGCGAAGTAGCGAAGGTTAGTTAAGCGTTAGCTAGAGAACGTTATACACAATTCCGTCTCTATGCCTAAACTTACGCCTCTGCTAACTCTTAGCAGCAACGTTTCTTATTCTAGCGCTAGCACTGAGCCTAGTCTTGGGCCTCTCGACAGTAACCGTAAAAGCGATAGTGCTCGAACCCTACGCCTATTTCTAGGCGACCTCTACAACGAAAAGAATAATGGTGATAGTGTACACAGTCGTAGGACAGTCGAGGAGCTACTACAGCCCTTAAGGAGATCTGTTGTTGCTTCTGTGGGAATAGAAGGCGAGCAAGATGTCGATTGGAATTTCGACAGCTGTAAGATAAGCAGACGAGTTAGCGGAAGTAGCGTAGGGGAAAGCATTAAGGGCGAACTTAGTTACATTAATAAGGCATTCCACAAACCTCCCACGGAAGCCTCTCGACGACGAAGGCGCAAGGACTAGGCACTTAAGAGGAGGCGTAGACTATTACAAACTGCTCTTAAGCCGCGCGACTGCAACACGATACCTGCGAGGCCACAGCGACAAGTAGAATCTATCCAGCTACAGCAAAATTCTACGCCTAGAAGAGAGAGGGCAAGGTCTTGTTCCTCGTCAGCACGCTCGCTAGAAACAGAGGCTCGAGATAAGACCAACATTATCGATAGACTCAGCCCCAAGGTGCCCTATTAGATGGCCAATCTTACGCTCTGCGCTGTCCCATCTAGCTCGTCGATCGTGACAGCAATTGTCCGTTACCGCGACTCGAAATGCTCTCTCGACCTGACCGCCCTAGGTTACAAGCTCTTCGGTAGAGATGGTAAAGTCATCCGCATGACGCAGCTATTGCCGGATTCATGGATGCTGCTAGGATACCAGTATAACGATGGTGCGCCAGGCCCATGCACCTACGGAAGCTTGAATGCGGGCTGGATAAGCAGTTCCTACAGTGATGCTGCCAATGATGAAACGGTCCACTTAGACTACGACTCGGAAGAAGTAGGCGAGAATAAAGAGGAAGGCTTAGAAAAGTACAACCAAAGAACGCACAGGCCATGGCTACAGTCAGACGAAGCGCGGTTACTCTCATTAAAGGATAACCAGGGTATGGAATGGAAAGAGATATGTAAACGCTTCCCAGATCGGTCTCCGGGCGCAGTAAAATTACGCTACTACACTTTGCACAAGAAAGGCTTATCAGGCTATCGTGATCATCTTTGATCTAGATATACCCTGGCATTCCTACTCCATTCAGCCGCATTCAGTGTCTTACGTCAAACCTCGGGATATTGTTCCGAGTCGGAACTCTCACGCGGTCGTTTCATAGTGGATTTTCTATTTGCCACGGATTTTAGCGCCGTGAGGTGGCTCGTTGCCGCCGGCGAACGTTGACTAATCTGATCCCAGTAGAATTCTGGCGCCGATGTTCACCCGCGCCACTCCGAGCTTCACGCGTCCGCCCCCGCGAAAAGCAAGCTGCAATTTCTCTCCTCTGCACCAGCTCTTGCACCTGCGTTGAGCCTCTCGCCGCCCGCCACCCTCTTTCTCGTTTCTACCCTGCCGACTGCGGCCACTTTTTCGTCATTTTTCATCGCTCCTCGGCCGGCCCTCCGGAAGCCAGAGCATCCGCCGAACTCATTTCCTCCTGCTGAACCCGATTAAATGATGAACATTCCCCAGGAAAAGACGGACTCGCCGCCGGAAGTTAAAGAAGCACAAGGTAAATGTCCCAATTTGGAATCTTCAGGAAGCTCACTGTTATGCACTAGATGTTGTTACGCTTCATCAATCGTCCGGGTGCCGCGTCGCGAAATACCCCGACTCTACAGTTGTCAAGACAGGCAGGCGAGTTATCCTTGATGAACGATCGGCGCTGGAATTTGCGGCGCAACTCAACCTCCCTGTTCCTCGTGTGCACGAAGCGCATATGGGGCCGGATGGGGAAGTGTTTATTCGAATGGATTTCGTCCAGGGTGAGATTCTTGCCTCGGTTTGGCCTAGCATGACAGCAGAAGAGAAAGACAGTATATGTCGACAGCTACGAGAGATCCTCACGAAAATGCGATCTGTACCATGGGAGACCGGCCTTATCGGATCCTGCTCAGGTGGGCCGGCGCGAGACTGCCGCCAATACACGGACTACAGCGACGGACCGTACAAGGATGAAGCGACTTTCAACTCGTTATTTTACTTTGATCTCGTAAAAACTACACCAGTTCCGCTTTGCACTGCACTCTTTAATTAACTTCGTAACGACTACCGCATAGTCTTCACGCACGGCGATCTCGCACAGCAAAACATATTAGTCGAGGACGGTTGGGTCGCTGGGCTACTAGATTGGGAGTACGCTGGGTGGTACCCAGAGCACTGGGAGTACATCAAATTTTTCGAGCGGCCATGTGAACATCGAGACTGGAAAGATCGCGCACATATGATATTTCCTCAACTGTATAAGAATGAAATAGCGTACCATCAAGGTATTCTGCGATGGCAACGTCCTTGAATTACTCTGGTTCTTCTTTTGCTTCTATTATTGCATCCACCATTGCATTGATACTACTATCGCAAGCCCCTCTCGTCACATATCCCGCTTTGGCAAGATTTTGGAGGACGTCTCCCACCCAGGTCTGGCAGTTGAATTCGCGGCTTAAGTTGTTAACAGGCGTTTGGTAGATGAGCGCTACTAACTGGGCTTTCGTTATTGGTGTTGTAAGTGTTCTAACCAAGACTTCTTTGGCAAATTTGCGACTCGTGGTTGAGTTATAGTTATCTCTCGTTTTAAGCTGATATGCCATATTGGGTCCAATAATATGAATGATTATAGATGCGGCGCCATCGCTGGGCCGAAGGCAGAGAGCGGTGTGGCGATATTTTTGATAGTCTAGCGGCTCTCCCACGTAGATAATAATGCTGAGTTTAATATTTAGCACGGAACTTGCACCGCCTGGAGGAGGCTAAGCAGTAGCTCTAGCGTACCATAAGTGTCAGAAATTGATTGTAATATTTATAGTGCAACTTAGAGAGATACTACCTTTTAGAGGCATAGAACCCTGCGGGAAACCCGTCTTTCACCTCTTTTAGACGATAATAGATCCCATGCGGGGTTTGCTAAGAAGTGTAATAGTATACCAGATTGGCATTATCGACCTCGCTTAGTCGATATTGGGTCATGATCGGGGAATGCGATCTTCGGCGCAGGGAACCGCAGAGAGGTTAGGGGAGAGCACGGCGTTGGAAACTCTGTAGGCGCTTCTTAGCGGGGCTGTAGTAAGGTAGTAAGGCTGCAACGAGTATAAATAGAGATTGTAGGCTGTTTCTAGCGCGCAGGGGAGTTTACAGGTAACTAGAAACGCGCTGCCTACAGGTAAGCAGAAGGCTAAAGCACTCGTTGCTTTTCTTATAGTTGCGAATGTTAGAGCTGCTATGTGTTATCAGGAGAATTAGCACCCGCGAGCGGGGCAAGAATTTTTTTAGTAGCGCAGTTAGAATTCTTTATTAGCGTTGTCTGCGCTATACAAATGCTGCACGACGCTAAAATAGTTACACTTAGCCGTTTTTCTTAATTACTAAGAGACTTGCACTACACCGCACTAACTTCTACATAACCGCCTATGTAAGAGCTAGGTCCGCGGTCTCTACTACTGTAAGCGTCCCCGAACACCTAGCTAGGTAAGTTAGCTATAGGCAGTACTATCTCTATAAGCTATAAGAATAAGAGGTGCTAGCAGAGTAGGTTAAGTTAAATTTAGCTATCTAAAGGTAAGAAGTTAAGAAAAGGCTCTAAGAGGCTCTATATATAGAGGTGCTAAGCGCTAAGACGCTAGGTTAGGTTACGTAATAAGATTACGTAACCTAAGGTAAATTCTTAAACTAGACTATTATATTACCCTCTCTTATAGAGAGAGCTTGTTTCTAAGCTCTAAAATACGCCTTCTAGGTCTCTCTTCTTCTAAAACTCTTACGTTATACTCTTAACTATCTCTTTTAGCTTATAGTAAGTATATTTATATTAGTTTTAAACTAGAAGTGCTTTTATAGCTACTATCTTCCCTCTAGAGAGAAAGAGGCTTATTTTTGCGTTAGTAGGGCGGCTTTCTTATTAGCTCTCTTCTTAAACGATGCTATAAGCTTAGTAGAGTTCTAAATTACTTAGTAGCGCCTTTACGTTACTCTTGCGTCTTCTACTCTTATAAGTTTTAAATTCTTTACTATCTTCTCTAGAGTCTTCTCTTTTTTGTACGCTTTAATCTAAGTATCTAATTATAATAGTAGCTCTAGCTTATCTAAGTATACTACGTAAAAGTCTTTTATCTTATAGAAAGCGTTAATAAAGCCTATAGCATTATACTAGGTAGAGTTAGAATTATAAGCAACCTATACAGCATAGTATTAAAGGTAATTTTAATAAAGATAGCTATCTAGAATGTTATATACAAGCTATTCTAGATTACTATTAACTTTAATAGATAGCTACTTAGGCTCTACCTACTCTAGTAATAACTCTAAGGCTTTTTATAACTAATTAGCGTAAAAGACGTTATATATACGTATATACGTAGATAGCTAGAGCTAAAAGAAGTAACTCTTTATAGTAATAATTAGGTAAGAGCTATATATCTATTAATCTAGCTTTATACTAAACTAATTTATTAAAAAGCTATAAGGTTTAATATAGATAAGATTGCCTATAGTAAAATTAGGTTCTTAGCGTTTTTTATTTACTTAGAGTGTCTATCTAGCTTACACTTTCGCGATATTACCTTATGTAATTTTAGTAGCTTTTTTTATAGCGTTATATTGCTTCTTAGTAAAATTCTAAGCTTTTTAGCGTAAGAGACGCTTACGTAGAGTAGAGGCTTTTACTATATACTTCTTCTAATTCTAGTAGTATACTAGCTAATATCTAAACTTAATTTTATATACTATTAGTTCTATAGTTTTATATAGTAATATAGCTTATACCTAATCTATATATAGTAGAAGGTTTAACTAATTATTCTAGTAGTAGTTAATAAATAGCCGTAGACGCTAATTAAGATATTAATTAATAATCTCTATATTTCTATTAGTTTATAAGTAGTATATAGTAAAGAGCTTCTACTTAATTTCTATAAGCTAATAGAGCTTATCTATAAAGGTAGAGGTAAACTATAGACTATAATTTAATATAATAGACCTAGAAGAACTATATATACGCTAGATATATTAGTAATATAGCTTTACTATACGTTAAGCTATAATTTTCTTATAGTAGAGTAGAGAGAAGCTCTACTTACTTAGCTAATCTATAACAACGTATACGTAGTTAAATTCTTTTTTATTAGAAAGAAAGCTCTTAAAATCTATAGAGACGTTCTACTATACTCTCTTAGAGATAAGTAGAGGCTTTAGAAAACCTAGCATCTTATTCTATAGAGTATAGCTCTAGTAGTAATCTTTATATACTACTACGTATATATTAACGTCTTTCTATATATCTAGCTAGTAATATTAATCTTATAGTAACTAGATAGTTTTCTAGTACTCTAGATAGGTAGTTATCTAAGTAGTATGTATAGCGCGTATTAAATACGTTTATAGATAGTTAATAGTAAAAACTCTTAATTAATTCTAATAGGTTAATAAGCTATCTTCTATTTTCTAGGTAAAGCCTAACAGAGTAGCTTTTTCTTAAGCTAGCTATAGAGAGTTATCTAATTAGTTAGCTATAATAACCTAATTAATTATAGTATATAGATTCTTAGTAGAGAGTACCTCTATAAACGTATTAGCGGCGGCGATTTTCGTAGTACTACTAGCTAATCTCTAGACTACTAGAACTAATAACTTACCTAATAATTACTTAATAGCTAAGAGGCTAATTTACTTCTTACTTAGAAAAGCCCTTATATAGACAGCATAATTCTTCTTCTTTTACGTCTTAAGCTCTTCTTACTTTTATAATAACGCGTTCGCTGCTATATTAGCTAAACCTAGTTAATAGGTAAGCTTAAGGTTATAGTTAGTAATATTATTTACCTAGTAGACCTACTAAGTAGTAAGTTTCTACTTAGTAGTAAAATACTCTAAGGCTTAGTAGTTAGTTAGCACCGTAAAGAGCTCTAGATCTTATAAGCTAATTAGCTAGCTTCTCTACTTCTATATACTAAGAATAACTACTAGTATTTCTTTATTATAAATACTATAGTTTATCTAGACAGTATTTATTATCTTACTAAAGAAAGCTACTAGTCTCTAGATACTATCTTCTTAAAGCTGTAAAAGAACTCTAGTAACTATACTATCTAATACGTCTGTTTCTACTCTTATATAGTAATAGAGAGAGTAATAAGCTAGTATAGTATTAGATAGTATAAGATTCTTAACCTACTAAAATACTATAAGCTTAATTTCTCTAAAGGTATACTATACTCTCTATTTTAGTAGCTTAGTAAGAAGGCGAATAATCTAGCTGTAATTCTTTAAGAAGGCTTAGTAGAAATTATAGAAACCTAGAAATAATTAAAGGCTCTTAAGAGTTATAGGTATAGGCTAATTCTAGATAGTAGTAA